TGGTAAATCTAGTTGATAAGCTAGTTTATAGCTTATCAATAATTTTCTAACTTATAACTTATGACTTATAGCTGAAAAGCTAGCTTATTTGATAAAAGTGATTGGTTAAATTAGCTGATAAGCTAGCTGAAATAAATAATTCAACTAACTTATTTGAAAAGCTACCTAAGTAAAGTTATCAAATAAGCTCGGGCATTTAAGAAAAAAAATTTGTCCTACCAAATGAGACTTATTTGAATTCATAGAGTTTATAAGCTAACCAAATAAGCTATAAGCTAGCTTATTTGTCTACCAAACATAGCCTAGAACAAGAGTACAAACGGTAGTCATAACACTACTCTCCCTCTAAAGACATCAAGGCTAAATCACTAGCACAACCACTAACTTCACAAGGAAGAGGAAAAAGACATACATCAAACAAGATCTAAGCTTTATCCTGTTGGGAGCAGACACTCGGGTATTACCCTGTTGGGGTCTTTTCAGTTTTTTAGTGTTTTTGTGTGTTTGTTTTGTATTACCCCGTTGGGGTCGGTTCTAGGCGGTCATCGATTGTATCACAATCATTGATTGTCCTCCCACTTTCAGCTGTTGGCTGTTCTTATTCAGCTAGTAGCTGCTTGTATTCGCACATTTGTGCATTTTGTGTTATAATATTATCTATCGTTTCGAAAAAAAAAAAACAAGATCTAAGCATATTAATCTCAGACCAAACAGAAAAAAGAGAGGAATTACAATGAAAACCGTCCATCAAGTCCTGCCACCCATTGTCTGAATCCACAAAGCACCTTTTCTACTTTACCACCAAGGGGAGAGTTGCAGTTTTGCCTTCTGCCATATACAATGATCTCTGCCATTCTCTGGTCAACACCTTGTTTGACAGCAACTCTCCCTATTCCTACTTTTCCATTAGAAGAGAATAGGGCACTGATATTGGGTAACATAACCTACCCTCTGGGAAAAATCTCCTCAGTGCCAGCAGTAGATTTAGGATTTGTAATGGAGTTTTGAGTATCATGTCTACCTTGCAAGGAAATCTTAAGCCAAACCTGTAACGCCCCGTTTATTGAAGAATTATTTGGAATTATTTATTATATGTTATTGCATATTTATTTTTATATTATTGATTGTCTAAATTGTTGGATAATTTTGGTATAAAACACGGGAATCCTACGAACTGATATGTATTTTCAGTTCTTACAAATAATCTAAAAATAGAAAATTACAATTGACCTGAAAAATAAATTACAACTGAAAAACGAAAAGATTTTAGCCGAGGCGAGTAAAACTCTTCAAGAAGAATACGCCTCGTGTGGCAGCTAACGGTTCAGGCGTAACTTCCCCAAAGATACAACGGCAAACGTCTCTAAATCTGTAGCACACCAGATTTACGAGCAACGACGAACTTGAACGGAGTCGAGAATTGAGCACTAAAAATAAAAAGATATATCATAAAACAAATAAAAAATATTATTTGTTCCTTCTCGTTTGATATTTTTATGTCCGATAATTGGACATAAAACTATCTTTTTCTTCCCTTTCTTTCTTTTCTCTCTTTCCTTTCTTTCTTTCTCTAATTTTTTTCCGTGTTCTCCCACATTGGTCGAATGCCAATTTATATGAGAGAGATATGAAATAAAGCCTGTGAGATAAAGCTTGTCCACATAATCAATTATCACATACACCAAATGGAATAGATTCCATAAGTTGTTTAATCCTTCCAACTGTCTAAATGGAATAGATGCTTTCAGAATAAGTTGTTTAATCCTTCCAACTGTCCAAATGGAATAGATGCTTTCAGACAAAATGACATGACATGCTGCCAAAAGCTTAATAAAAAATAATGATAAGACCACATTAATGAAACTTAATATTACAATCCCCCACATAAGTTTCATTAAATATAAACAGATAATTGTGCTCAATCCTCACAAAATTCTATTGCATCAGAGAAGGTAGCTTTTGGCTTTGAACCCTTCTTAGTAAACATCATCGGATGCACTGGCGGTCTAGTGGACATAATGCCTTGAACTATTCCTCCATAGTGTACACCGAGACAATGACATTCACACAATAGAGTCTTAACTCCATTCCGTTCTATCGTTGTGTCCGTTTTGGCCATGGACAACACAATGGATTCATAAGTGTTTACATTTGAAGCGGCCCACACTTCACACTTATATAGGTGACCTCCCTATCAAGAGTATCCTGCCATACTCCACCTTTACAAGGTTAGGGATTCATTAAAAGTCCATATGACTTACCCTCACCACAATCAACAGGTTATCTTGCACTTGGAGTGCTCTAGGGAATAGCTTTGGACATTCATATGTTCCAAGTGCTCAACTGAATTTTCATAGCTTAGTTTTCCCTTTGAACCAAGTTCGTGGGATCTCCACTCAGCATGGTGGGGTTACCACTATGATCATTCTTTACATTGTGGATTTTTAAGCTCATTCCCTCTAGCAAAACTGTCAATTGATCTTTATTCAATCCTTTCGTCAAAGGATCAGCCAAATTTTCCTTAGACTTCACATAGTCAATGGAAATAATACCATTTGTAATCAATTGACGTACGGTATTATGTCTACGACGGATATGTCTAGACTTACCGTTATACAAGTTGCTTTGCGCCCTGCCAATAGCAGCTTGGCTATCACAGTGAATCATCACAGGCGGCAAAGTCTTATCCCAACATGGAATATCGGATAAAAAATTTCTAAGCCACTCGACTTCTTCACCAGCTTTATCTAAAGCGATGAACTCCGATTCCATCGTTGACCGAGCTATACACGTTTGTTTTGTGGATTTCCACGAAACTGCACCTCCTCCAATACAGAAAACATATCCGCTAGTGGAGCGAGAATCTCTCGAATCTGATATCCAGCTTGCATCACAGTACCCTTCAAGTACCGATGGATATCTCGAGTATTTTAACCCGTATTCAAGGGTGTACCTCAAGTACTTAAGTACCCTTTTCAAAGCATTCCAGTGCTCATGACTGGGATTGCTCGTAAATCTGCTCAACTTATTCACCGAATAGGCCAAGTCTGGTCGTGTACAATTTGTCAAGTACATCAGACTCCCTATTATCCGTGAATATTCCAACTGAGCCACTAATTGACCTTTGTTGACTTCCAGATTTATACTGAGATCAAGGGGTGTCTTACACCTAGACTGTGCTGTTGGTATATGTGTCCTAGAGACAATCATTTTAAGGACATATATACATGATCACATTAATAATTATATTGGATTATAATTATGGTATTGCAATGAATTAAATAATTGTTT